AGAATGCGGTCACAAAACCCCGCATCAGCCATGATAAAAGAATGCGGTCACAAAACCCCGCATCAGCCATGATAAAAGAATGCGGTCACAAAACCCCGCATCAGCCATGATAAAAAGAATGCGGTCTCGAGACCCCGCATTAGCCATGATAAAAGAATGCGGTCTCGAGACCCCGCATCAGCCATGATAAAAAGAATGTGGTCACAAAACCCCGCATCAGCCATGATAAAAGAATGCGGTCACAAAACCCCGCATTAGCCATGATAAAAAGAATGCGGTTTCGAGGCCCCGCATCAGCCATGATAAAAGAATGCGGTCACAAAACCCCCGCATCAGCCATGATAAAAGAATGCGGTCACAAAACCCCCGCATCAGCCATGATAAAAAGAATGCGGTTTCGAGGCCCCGCATCAGCCATGATAAAAGAATGCGGTCTCGAGACCCCGCATCAGCCATGATAAAAGAATGCGGTCTCGAGACCCCGCATCAGCCATGATGAACGAATGCGGTCTCGAGACCCCCCATCAGCCATGATGGACGAATGCGGTCTCGAGGCCCCGCATCAGCCATGATGGACGAATGCGGTCTCGAGACCCCACATCTGCCTTGATGGTCAAGTCGGAAATATAAATCGAGTTACTTCAGATCTTAGATATATTAATTGTTGCTATATTTTTTATTTAACTTTTTAACCTCTAACCCTATCCTCTAATGCTTAACCCTAAAAATAATTTTATTTTTCAAGATTTTATACTATAATTTCATTTTAATCTGGACTTTTTATAATCTGTCTGTTATATTTAATTCACAATCTATATAAAAAGAATAGGATTTTTTTTCAGTATTAAAGTAATCTCTTTGGCCATGAGAACTTTTTATTAGTAATCATTTGCTATTATAGTTACAATTAGAGTTTGGAACCGCGAAAAATTATGCAGGCGATTAATCGCGTCGCCTAATTAGAAGTTACACGATTAATAATCGTATAATCGTTTATATCATTTAGCTGTTTAATCATATAATCGTTTATTAATCGCATAACCGTTTATTAATCACTTAACCGTTTAATCGTATAATCGGTTATTAATCGTATAACCGTTTATTAATCACTTAACCGTTTAATCGTATAATCGTTTATTAATCGTATAACCGTTTATTAATCACTTAACTGCTTAATCGCATAATCGTTTATTAATCGTATAACCATTTATTAATCACTTAACCGATTAATCGTATAATCGTTTATTAATCGTATAACCGGTTATTAATCACTTAACTGCTTAATCGCATAATCGTTTATTAATCGTATAACCATTTATTAATCACTTAACCGTTTAATCGCATAATCGTTTATTAATCGTATAACTGATAACCGTTTATTAATCGCTTAACCGTTTAATCGTATAATCGTTTAACTTTAGCTGTATAATACAGTTAAAGTTAACTGTTTAAAAATTGCTTTATAGTTCCGGGCAGAATTATGTTGGTCGTGGGCTGGAATTATTTCAATGCCGACCAAATTAAACGGTTAAATGATTAAGAAAAATTTTAGGCGGTTCCAATCCCTAACTGTATTAACCATTTGGGCTGCCATCAATAGAAATCAAGCAGATTGACATTTTGAAAAAAATTAATGCCTTAACTTTCACCGCCCATATCTCAATGAATTTCGAAGCTATTTTCATACTTTAATAGTCAAAAGAAAGCTTATATCTTGAGCTTTCTTTGACTATTAAATCATAAGAATTGCTTTGAAATTCATCAAGATATGGGCAGTGAAAGCTAAGGCATTAATTTTTTTCGAAATGTCAATCTGCTTGATTTCTATTAACGGCAGCCCATTTAATCATCGTATTCATATTGATATAGCAATAATTATTGAGATCTAATATTAACAATGTCTAAAAACTTGTATATATTATTTATTTATATTACATTAGAGAAGATTATTAAAAATAAAATAAAAATAGAAAAAATACTATTGTTAAGCTGCAAATAATGCTAACGATTCAATTTATTCAAGTTTTATCTCTATTATTAAAAATAAAATAAAAATAGAAAAAATACTATTGTTAAGCTGCAAATAATGCTAACGATTCAATTTATTCAAGTTTTATCTCTATTTTTAGAGTTAAAATTTCACTGCAAAATGCATGAATGTACAAGAAAAAAAATTTTTTTTTAGCACTATCTATATGCCCACCACAATAACTGACAAATGGTCCATAGTGAATATAATAGCTAATTGCATGTTCTGGTTATATTATGCAACTTAGAATAGAATTTTGAATGGTACCATTTTTCATTAAAAACCAAGCCACTATTGCAATTCTTATAAACCCCTTTCCAACTAGTTTATTCCATACAATAGGATTATATCCATCGTCAGTACCTTGCTTACAGCAATTTCATGCTCATTTCTCTAGTAGACATAAGTGTTACCACACTTTTGATAATAATGATTATGCTAGTATCTTTGTATTTAACTTTTTTAGCATAGATCGTGTATACCTTTTTTTTTTAATTGTTATTCAATTAAGCCTATTGCAAATAATATAAAAAAGAATTGCGTGTAAAAAAAATTATATTCGAATTTAAATCTATACATAAATTTTGAACCTACTTAGACATTCAGCATTACACTTAATAAAAAGAATATTTCCAACGATCTTTGGGCCTAATCGTGTACGTTGGGGAGTAATCAGGTTTCCTGCATCTGAGAAAAGTTGCTCACATGGGACAGACGTAGCTGGTACGCACAAATATTTACGTGCTAACAATAATAAAATTGGAAACTCGGTCTTATGATCATTCCACCATTGCCAGGGATTAGCATTATAGTTAATAGGTGTAATCATTAGATATTGTGCCACCTCATCTAAAGGTGTATCTTCTTGACTTCGTACTCCAAAAATACCTTCAAAAAATAGATTTTGCATTATTTCAGTGACCATTGATGGTAATGCTTGTTGCTCTGGTTGATCATTGCTAGTAATATTAAGATGTAAATTCTCAAATTCATTCCTTAATTTTGTTTTAGCCTTTTCTCGTTCTCTATTTGTAAATAGTCATTTTTTTGGTTCAGGGGTCTAAAAGAGTAGCTATCAATCCAACATCACGAAATTTGTGCCAATATTTATTCAAAGAATCAGTAATAGCAATTTTAAATTGTTTTTCTATTTGATCAAAATCAGGTGGCGGTGGTGGAATATCATCATCATTTTCAGAATCTAATAACATGTCTAATTAATTTGAAAGAAAGTTAGAAAATACATTCAATTTCTGCATTTGATTCTGATTAGTAGTAGAGATGAGCAATATAAATTTTATCACTGCATGGTATTTAATTCTTATAATACACTACGACTAAGCACCATGCAGTAATTTAATTAATCAGGTCTATCGAAAAATTATAGTAATTTTTACCATACATCATAAATTAAAATCAATTAAAATTATCAAAATTAATCGAAGCCCGATTAATGATGAAATAATTGCTCAATTTTCTTTTACTATATTCATAAAGCATTGCATACAGTACCCAGTGAAACCTGCTGCAAAAAATCAAAAATCACATGTAAGTAATAATCTTATAGTGAATATGATATGTAAGCTAATTACATAAAATTGCAATCAATTGTCTCCACAATTAATTATTCGATAGACCTGAATTAATGTCTAAAATCTGCTAGTGATTAGTAATCATTATGATTACTAATCATCAGTAAACTTTAATTGTTAATCATCATGTCAGTGAATTTCGACAAAACCTACCATCCTTGTTATCACTATTTTCATTATCATTACTCAACTCTAAACTAAACTCTATAAATTTATTTTGTAATTCATGAATGATGGAATACATTATTGAAAGGGTAGGATATTTGCTTCCCGAAAAAAATTTTGTTGCCTGGTCAAATAGTTTTAATGCATTAATGATTCTCTGTAGCAAATCCCATTCATAATCTTTTTTTTTTTTTTTTTTTTTTTTTTTTTTTTTATATTGCTAACGTAGAAACTTTATTAGTCATGATAAACACCTTTTTACAGAACAATTAATATACAGTTTCTAATTAGATTTGTGTTACTATTACTAGTCACCCAATGTGGCATTATACTCCTTATTTTCCTATATTACTTTTTCCATTAACTATTTCAAGCCAACTTCAAGCTAGGATCAGTTGGAGCAACCTACCATTACATGTCCCACCCATGT